GAAAACATAGATCCAAGGTATTTAGGGTTGCATGTACACCATAGGAGTCTTAGAATGCTCAAAACCCAACAGATGTGTGGTTTGGACTCCTGGTCTTGAGCATTAAGTGCTTAATGGAGTTTGACTTAATGGATGAGTACGCTGGGCGTACAAGTCTGTACGTGCAACGTACAAGCCAAATTTCATGTACACTTAGCGTACAGCTGAGTACGCCCCGCGTACCCAGTCAGGAGGATTTTTGGCTTTTGGGCTTCGTGTTGGGCTTCCTTTTTGGGCTTGGGTGTTTGAGTTCTTAATGGGCCATCTGAGTATAAGTGTCTTGGACTAGGAATTTTGGTAGGGCTTTAGGGTAAGGCCCACGTAAGGGGGTTTGGGCCCAATTTGGAAAATTGGGCCATAATTGGGCCTTGGTCGGTTATTTGGCTTTTGGGCCTTTCAAGTTGTGAGTTGGACCTTGGTCTTGGGCCAAGCTTGGTTAGGGTTAAAATGGTATTTTTATCCCGAGTATGGATTTATGGTTATGGTTTGGAACCCAATTGATAATTGGGTGTTGTTTTGATATTGACAATTCGAGGAATTTGTCAGCCAGCAACCAGGGATCATCTGTGTGTTTCGCCGGTGCGAGGTGAGTTGTCCTCACTGTACTTGCGGGTCGAAGGCATCAATGCCTGATCATTGGATTGATATCCTGTTATGCATGCTACTGTACTGTTATGATCTGTTAGATCGGTATCCTGGTAGATAGGATGTTGCTATGCTGTTATAATCTGTTAGATCAGTATTCTGGTAGATAGGATGTTGCTATGCTTAGTGATCTGTAGATCTGTCTGATTGGCTGTAGACTGTTATATGATTATCTGTTATATGTGCTCATGTTTGATTGGTGGCTGAGGCTTCTCTGCTTTGTGCGTAAGTCAACATGCCGGGGCATTCCAACCCGATGGTTGATTGGGCCCAAGGGTATTCCAACCCGATGGTTGAGGGCCTGGGGTATTCCAACCCGATGGTTGACTGGACCCATAGTATGTTGGCATTCCAACCCGATGGCTGAGGGGCTGGGGTATTCTAACCCGATGGTTGACTGGACCCATATTATGTTGGCATTCCAACCCGATGGGAGGCACTGATTTTCAAATAATGTTTTGAGAACACTATTTTTGTAAACATTATATTAGTAAAAGGGTCGTTTTGAAAAGTTTAAAATTATTGAAATTTTTGGGATGTTACAAAGTGTATGTTTTCAAAGTTGTATATGTTTAGGATTGCATAACCCTAGAATGATGGATTCTGCCTCATTTCCTGTTCCTTGTTTGGTTGTGGACTCAGGGTAGAAACTTTATTTGACAGTCTATGTGATTCTATTTATATATAACGTGCATGTATAAGGCAACCTGCGGTGTTGATTGAGGTTCTGGTTCTGTGAGGATTAAGAAATCCTAGAAGAGTCTAGGATATGCATATGTACTGTGATTTGTAGGTCATGTTTAATATATGGTTGGGTGAATTAGAGGTATCAGGTATGGCCTTGGGGAAGGTATAGGTAGGTGTGGAAGGTAGTATTGAGCCCGTACTACTGAAAGCACATGACATGTACCCGAGACAAGGACAGACCTGGAAGCTCTAAGGAGTCCAGTGGGGAGGAATCCCTTCGAACTTCCTTATCAATTGCTTTCTATGTTGTATTTTCAGTTGAGGATGTTGATGGCTACGTGAGGAGGTTCAGGTTCGGGATCGGGTTCAGGCTCTGGTGCAGAGCCGATTGATGAGAGGCTGCGCGAGCTTATCGCAACCGAGGTTACTCGCGACATCCTTGGCGCTACCCCGATGATTTTCGGTACCGTCAAGGAGGGGATCATGGCGGAGCGGCTCAAGTCTTTCCGAGACGAGATCACTGCGGGTCAGATTGGGACTCGAACTCCCTCATTCTAGGAGTTCAAGGCGTGCGGAGCGCCTGAGTTCTTTGGGGTTAAGGACCCCATCGCTAGTCGCTGTTGGATTGCTGACATGGAGAATGCTCAGCGCACGAGCTTTTGCCCCGAGGCGGAAAAGGTGGGATTCGTGTCCTGTATGCTGAGGGATCAGGCCCCATCGCTAATTTCGACCTAATGTCCGAGATATTTATAATTGTGGAAATCTGACCACCACGATGTGGTCTTCTGGTAAATTTCGTGTCTGCCAAGTCAACATATGGGTCGCGATTCTTTCATTCGCCACGTCGCGGTTAAGCAACCACGACGTGGTTTTCAGGTAACTTTTCTTCTTCTCTTGTTTTTGTTCCAGTTTCCTGCTTCCAGCTCCTCGTATGCTTCCTTTCTGTCCCGAGCAAGTATTCGCCACTATAAGACATATTTTAAACATAATAAGTATCTTTTGTTCCATATTAAGCATAATTGTAGCTAAAAGTATTAGAATTAAATTATAGAGTTAAATATGCACATATTAACCACAATAGTATTTTATATTGGCAATTTCAGTCCCTAGCATTTTTGGGATTCCAAGTTTGGCTACGAGACTTTCGCATATTGATAGGTTTGGTCTATATACTTTCATATATTGCCATGTTTCGCCCTGATACTTTTTGAGTTTCGTACTTTCGCCACATGACTTTCATATATTGACAGTTTTAGTCTCTAACATTTCTGGGTTTCTAACTTTTGCCACAAGATTTTCGTATATTTATATATTTTCTCCCTAAAGTTTCGTAGTTACGCAAGTTCAGTCTTCCTCACTTGCATGTTTCGCCCTGATACTTTTTGAGTTTCGTACTTTCGCCACATGACTTTCATATATTGACAGTTTTAGTCTCTAACATTTCTGGGTTTCTAACTTTTGCCACAAGATTTTCGTATATTTATATATTTGCTCCCTAAAGTTTCGTAGTTACGCAAGTTCAGTCTTCCTCACTTGACGAAGCGGAGATAGTAACTAGTTTACTCTAAAATAAATTGATATGCAATGATTACAATTTAAAAGTATCGGAGTACCCATTGGCCACCCTATCCACTAGAAATATTTCAAGGACTGTTTTGTAATTCACTAAAAAGTGTAATAGTCGTAGCTAGGAAAAAAAAATAAAAATTAATCCACTTTCAATCTGTCAGACGGCTTCGCCTTTCGCAGCGTGTTACCTCGATGGCTTCGCTTCAAACCAAACACCAAACCCCCCCTTCTACTTTGTATCACCATTTCTCCCCTTTCTCTTTCAATGGCCTCCCGATTCGCGTTTCAATCCACCAATTTTCAACCCTACTACCAGTAAGATCTCCTTCTAACACACGCTATTTATTGCATTTCTTACGCCGTTTCTTTGATCTCAAGTTGCATGTTTGCAACTTGATGAATTAACATGATCTCCGAGCGATGGATATGGTCACGGGTGAAGTTTTTGATTTCTAGCGGTTATTTGATTGCTACATTAATGATTGTTTAGGTTGGGATCATGTTTCGTGAATTATCCTTTTCTTAGGTCGTCCTTGTCAAAGTACCTGTCGAGAATTGAATAGTGTCATCTTTTGCCAATGCACTCACCGAGTAGTTATTCATGATTCATGTGGAGGATTTGCATATTTGACTGCTAAGATAACGTTGGAGGGGAATGTTTCTTTGTGAATGATTGATGATTCTTAGTGAAAACGAGATAGCTATTTATGTTAACTGGTCTCATCTCGAATTGATTGCAAATGTTGAGTGTGATTTTTACCTTACCATTGTAAAGAAGATTATTAGTTTCAGTTTCAAGTTCCTCTCTGCACTATTGTGTTCTGTTCCATCTTTATCCTCCAATGGCTTCCGACTTGTTTTTCCACATCTTCCACTTCCCTTTCCTACTACAAGTGCATCTCTCTGTCTTTTCTCTCAGCCATCTTTCCACATACACGTCATTGAATATGTGTACTTAGTGTTTATTTGCACCGAGTATTGACATCAATTCGTTTTTACACGGTTATGTAGATTGTTATGTTAAATATTCTATAGATATATATTTATAAACATATCTCCTGAAAATATTGTTTCATATCATGAATCAAGGTCAGAAGGGTTATTGCATAACATAATCATCTATGCTCTATTTATTTTGACAAAGCTCCATATGAAGATGAATACTTTCTTAGTTTGAGTTGCATAAGAGACTGCAATGGCAGTAGGTCTTCATAGGGAAACTATTAAGTTGATTTTTTGCTATATCATATTTGTTGTGGTGATTTTCTAGTGTTTCAAGGAACATTATTATCCATTATCTACAAGATACATATGAAAAAGACACTCTTAATGGTTTGACATTGTACTCTTTGTAAGAGAAAACTATAGAAATATGAGAGACTGTTCTTCAACTGATCTAAAAAAGCTCTTCAATAAATCATTGTCACAGGGATTCTGCTGGATCAGAAGAAAGTGCAAAGTTCATAGCTTGCTCATCTTATGGATCAAAGTTCAGTATGAAAGGGCAAGATAATGATAACATCTTGCATGGATTCCTTTTCAAGAATGGCATTTCAACATCTCAAAATATCACACTACATCAGTCTTCATCAAGATCACTATCATCCATTGCTTCTTCTGGCAACAACAAGATGATAGCCAAGAATAATCCTTCTATAGATATAACAAACAGAGATGATTTGGAACTCAACCGTGTTAATCATCTTGTATGGGTATTACATGAATCAGCCAGAAGCTTTTCCCTTGCAATTCAAAATCTACAATTAGCTAGAAGTGGTCCTGAGCTATCTAATGCATGGATTGGAGTCGATGTCCATGCATGGCATAAACGCACTGCATATCAGGTACTCTAAAAAAAGAAAATCTCAACACCCTTTTTTATATTCAAACAATCAACCTCATTCACAGGTAGCAGTATATGCTTTATTGAAAGCTGCAATTGAAGTGGAGTTATTTCTTTCTCAAAAACGTTGCAACAGTCCTGTAAGTGAAATGTAAGTAGTACACCATTGAAGTGGTTGGATAAAATGAGTACTTCTAGACATGTTTTAGTCTTTCAAATTTCAAATGTTTCATGTGGTCTGATATTCTTTTCATGCTTCTACCTCAGTTTGTCCACAAAGACATTGTTTCTTGGAGATTTTGTTGAAAGTCAGTTATATGCCAAACACCCAAGATTAGTTCAGTGGTTTAGAACTGTAGAGCTTCCACGTATAGCAGGATCATTTATCCCACTCTTCAAAAACTGGTCTATGGAATATGCTGGAAGGTATGCAATCATGCATCATCATTTCCAGTTTTACCCTTGACTTTGATGATCAAACTTTCATCAAATTCTTGCTTCAGTGGTGTTGCAGGAGTGATTCTGGCTATAAGTTGTTGCACTGCAGTGAGAAAGTTGGGGTCAGGGCGTATTGCTTGTGGTTTATTCACAGACTCCATTAATGATGTTTTAGTGGAGCTTCTGGACTTATCATGCAGCCTTGTAACAGTGGATAAAATGCATCATTTGGCACTTGAAGCAGGATTTGAAGATGATTTTTTGTTTCATTTTGGTAAAAAGGTTTTGCCAAATAAGAATATTGAAGATGTGGAATTTTGGATTGGATTGGTTCAGAAAAAACTTTTGGTAGCATTTCATAGAGAAAATGTAGTAACAGGGAAACTGACATTCAATGACAAGGCGTGTTCCCTTCATTAAGTCTCTAAATTATACAAATTATATATGTAAATTGTAATATATATTTTTATGTACAGATTGAGGAGATTACTTTGGCTACACTTGGGATTTTTGCATTTCTGGGAAGAGAAACAAGATTATTCTTGTCAGAAATGAACATAAAGGATCTTGATGATCAGACAAAGGATTTCCTCAGGTCAATTGGTCAAACATATATTTTAATACAAATACAATTAAACAAAAATTCTTAAAGGTTTTCACAAATTGCAGTTACTTGGAGTGTGGTTGCCTGTATATTTATCCTGAATTTAGCTCCCTACCTGAGTACCAGCTCTTCATTGAGGTCAGATGATTTATGATATTAAATGATGCTGATGCTGATTTATTTATTTATATTATAAATTTATAATTTATAATTACAAATTACAGGTGGTTATAGAGGAAATTGGATGGCTTGATTTTTATTCACCACTTAGATTAAAATTCCATCATGATGGAAGAAGATCAAGACAACAAGCTATCCAAGCAGAAAAAGAGATTATTCTTTATACTGTTCTTACTGTTTGCTATGATGTTTTTTCTGGATATGCTCATTATACAAGTTCCTCCCAACAACCCATGGATGCAAATTTGCTTTCTTTTTTGCTTCGAAGGTACACCATTAATTTTTTAAATCTTGAATAAATTTATTTGCATTTTCTAATTTATATTTGTTTTTTGTAGTCAGTCATTATTATCGTGTTGTCTTGAGGAGTATTGGGCTGCTTATGATAAATCAGGGTAAAACCTTACCCGGTTTACCAACTATTTTCTTTAATATTACATTGAAAATAAACGGATTATTATACATTTTTTTGTTTTTTGTTTTTTGTTTTTTGTTGGTAGTGAATTAATGAAATTTTCGGAGAGAGTTTCATCTGAGTCAACAACACCATCTGCTCCAAGTAATAAAGGGACAACAAATTCATCTGCTTTATTGGAAGCTCAACAAAATCCAGTTGACATGATGAAAAGGAGAAATAGTCAAGATGGATCTACAATTAAGAAGGTATACTATGCATCACATGTTAGTGGGAATATTAGTAATATTGTATACAACTGACAGTATGTATCTATTTTTTATAAATATAATTATGTTCTTGCAATCTAATAAAGGTGAAAGAGAGGGGAGGTGGAGCCGAAACAAAGCCGCTGTATGAACGCTTTATAAGGGAATCCACCATGAAACTGGTTGCTGCGAGTAATGTAAGTGTCCAGATATTTTATTTAATTATTTTTTTAAATAAAATTTGTTAAATAATTATTTTCAACATATAGGATATATGGATGGGCACTCGATTACTATTTATAGATGTAAGGGACACTTTTACATTGGTGATGAAACAATTATATGGTAAAAAGATTACAAATAGAGAAAGAGGGAAAATAAAACGAACACTCAACGATCTTGCCACTCTTGTCCCCATTACAATCCTAATGTTAATACCTGTAAGCATCTAAATTCAAATTATTAATTAAATTATGATTTTTAGAAAAATTCATTTTTTTTTTTTTTTTTGTATGGTTAGGTTTCAGCTGTAGGGCATGCAGCGATGCTAGCAGCAATCAAGAAATACATCCCATCATTGGTACATTTTTCTTATTTTTTTAAAAATGATTAATGCATTGAATGTGATGATTAATTTATTACAGATTCCGTCTCCTTATTCATCTCAACGGTTGCATTTGGTGAAACAACTGGAGAGAACAAAGAAGATGGAGGTGGAATCAGATGTGGGGCGGAGTAGTAAAGAAAATGAAGAAGACAAGAGTTTGAGAGTGACAATGCCATAGAAGATGAGGGGTGTATATAGAATCAATAGATAGATGGTAATGATGTATAATTACTAATTAGATGTTTCATAAGTTAATTTCAATCCCAATTGCAAATGTAGGTGCATGTTGGGGTTGTAAGTTATATGGTACCATGAGATCTTAGTTTTGTTCCTTTAAAAGATCCGTGTAGGAAGATAAAGTTGTCTGTTTACATGTCGGTAAAAAGGTAAATTTTCAGAGTCAAAGTGGGTCGGGTCGGGCTGTTGATGGGCCAATGTCTTTTGGTTTTTTT